ACTGAGCAGTCAAAAGGTAAGGTGAGATTATTCTGAAATTACACAGGCAGGCACTATAGTCACTCTAATACCTACTATACAAAAACAACGCAACATAGAAGCTACACAACATCGTTCCTAAGTTACCACAGATTTCAGGAAGGATGACAGAGCTTAAAACAGCCTCCTTTAATGTCCAGGCCAGTGCTGTGCCAGCTAGATTAAGTTTTCTGGCTGACATTAACAAGCGAACACACAGTTTAGCCTTAGCTTGCGAACATGGCTGTGCTTTTCTAATCGGTGAAATATGCCCCGTTTAAACAATTAACACCTTCAGTCACCCGAGTCGATATTAAAATATAACCCACAGCAGCGGTACACTTCTCCAAACTGGCTGACAAACGTTTAACACCACCAGATTTGCTTGATGCTAGTCACCAGCTAATGCTAGGCCGCACATATCAGCACTTGAGCCGAGGTAATGTCCCTGTCGTTAGCTGGGTGACTAACAGCAGCCTGCCGACAACAAGTTAGCTTCACCGAGGGTCGCTAGGTGAGCGTTAGTTCAGCCTGTCACTGGCTAACGTTAGCTTAGGTTAGCTCGTTAGATTTGACAATGGTGCTCACTGTGAACTGTCCTCCACATTTTTGACGCCAGCATCGCTTACAGTTAGCATTAGCTGTCCAGCTTGCCTCATATCCTCCTTCCGCATCCAGTCATTAGCGAAAAACAATCTCAGAGGCGTCCTTCCTTCGCAGGAAAGCAGCAGCCGCCTGTCCAGAAACCCACCAGCGTCCCTCCGTGTTGGCTTCGGCTAACTTCTCATTGTTATCTCACTGCCCCTCGTCCTCTTTGGCATCAGGGGCTGCGGGCGGACATGCAGCGGAAGCGGGGCTCCTCTCTCATAGTGAGCAGCCGCTGTGTGTTGGCACAAACGGTGGCTAAGAGAACATGTTTCACTGAGCTAGCTCACTGTGACCGGGCAGCTAGCGCTAGCTAACAACTATTTGGCACGCGCACACGCACGGAGCGCAATAAAGCGAGAGAGAGACATATTTATATTTAGAGAGAGAGAGAGAGATTCCCATGACGCTGATTGGCCAAATCCACTGACGTCATGTGGAGGGCACTTCTCTCTTTAATTTCAAATTTGTCAAAACATCGTCGCATTCAGTCCTGTGCAGAATGTCTTATCTTTTTATTGATCGATTAACTTCATAAAAAGTGCAATCAATAAAATCAGTTCTCCTCTGTACACTTGTGCACAACAATCACCTGGTTGTTCTGAGCACCCTGGAGAAGTGGCCACAGATTTCCGAGGCTGTCAGTCTTCTTTCTCCTCATGTCACCTCCGACTCAAATGTATGAAAACAACATAAAAAAGAATTTTACATATGAATACATACTGCTCCTGTGGGTTCATCCAACAAGGCAATTTACATCATGTTTTTGTCCTCTGTTATCCTCCACTCGGGGCTTCCGGTCACTTGGATGACACCACAAGAGCAGTATGGAGGCATTTTATGTTTTTTTCTGTTGTTTTTTTACATTTGAAGAGTTGATCACCAATTACTTCAATTGTATTGGAGTTGGTTGCAACTCTGTTGAACCCCTGTAATCAATACCAATATAACAAAAGTCCAACATATATCAATATATTGCTTATGCATTGTGCAAGTTGTGCACAGTTCAGCCCTAGTTGAACCTAAATAACACCAGAGGCTGTAAAGTCGATGAATGAAATAGATAAATAGTGCTCATGAACACATAATGCCAGGTGACTAGCAGATTTTATGAAAGTATGTGACCCCGGCCTATGTGAGGTCTCATTCAGCAACAGCCAGTGATTTATTATTTATTTTTTTTAACAAGAAAAGAGGTAGAAAAACAAATTATGTTATATAGTAAATACAGTCAACTTCCAACCTCTTGAAGTTTAACTATTACTAGCAACTATTACTTCTCCTTTTGTATGCTATCACCTTCTCTTCTGTTCCTTGAACAGTGTAATCACCGTGAGCCAGATTAAGAAACACATTCATCATTATGGCCCCATTCTCTGGGCTTTAAAGGGATAGTTCACTCAAAAATGAAAATTCACTCATTATCTACTCACCACTATGTTGATGGAGGGGTGGCTGAAGTATTTGAGTCCACAAAACACTTCTGGAGTTTCAGTGGTAAACAGTGTTGTAGCCAAATCGAATGCAATTGAAGTAACTGGGGATCACTTCTTCAAATGTATAAAAACAGACAGAAACCTAAACACACAATAAAATGCCTCCATACTGATCTTGTGTTGTCATCCAAGTGTCCAGAAGCCCCGGCATTCAAATTTGACTTAAAACAAGGTAATTGATACCATGTTTTTAGCCTAAATGTCCTCCGATATCCTCCTCCAGAGCCATGTTCACATGTGGATCTCAGTGGACATTTAAGCTAAAACATGGTGTAAATGCCCTTGTTTTGAGCTGATATTGAATTCAATTGTTTTTCTGTTTTCTGCATTTGAAGATGGGGTCACTGTTTACTTCAATTGTACTGGATTTGGCTTCAATAATATTAACCCCTGAAACTCCAATGGTGTTTTGTGGACTCAAACACTTCACCCACCCCTCCATTGGTGAATAGATAATGAGTGAACTTTCATTTTTGGGTGAACTATCCCTTTAACTATTTTACATGGAAAATTATTGTAATGAAATTAGAGAATTAACCTATTTTTTATTTCGGAATTTGTTCAAACTTCTGAGAACATATGACATGTCAAACATTTAGCAGCTGTAAGTCAGAGACAAATGGACACATTTTCATTCCTGTGTATATATAACAACTAGATATATAACAACAATTTCTCTAACATTTGTCTAAGGTACTTCATTCTAGAGGGATTTATGGACAATGAAAGAAAGCAGTAAATTAATTAATATCCTGAAATCATGATTGTGGGAACCAACAGTTTTCTCATTAGTGAAAGGAGGCAGCATGGGTTAAAAGTCATGAGTCAAGATCTGAGAAGAACAAACTGAGTCGACTGAAGTCTCAGGAAATTATTTTTTGTTGTTAAGCAATATCAGAGGCTCTGATATAACTGGCACACGTACGCAGAATTTAAGCTTAGTTGTAACTTTGCATATCTGCAAAATAGTAGTGAAGAGCGATCATAAGGGTAAGCTATAAAGCAAGTATTGACAGTATGAAGAAAACCTGGCTTGGAGGAACGGGGCAGGTCAGAGCAAATATGACCTGGTGGTTTTTGTTGAACTAGACTTGTGACATCTCAGCAATGCTCAACTGCAGCATATCACATCCTGTGGCCATGCAGCCACAGGATGTGATATGCACAGTTTAGACATCACCTACACTACACCTGACTTAGCCTACAAGATTATTCTCTGCCTGACAGAAATACAATAAATTCTTGTATTTGTATTTACGTCATAGAAATATTAATGGCTGCTTCAGTGAGGGCAACTAAAGCCCACATATCACAACACTGTGTTAACCTTTCTCTCTATCGTTCAGTTCCTTGTGTTCTCAGCAGGGGGTAGTCAAACAACACAAACCCTGTAACTTCTCACAAGCAAATATTATTGCTCATATTTGGGGGAATGTTTTTCTAGAAATAATATTCAGGTTAGGAGACAAAGCACATGACAGGACTTATGAAATAATATTCATACTTTTGCATTATTAGCCATTGTGCATACAGCATTTTTAAATTTTTACTGTAAATTAAGAACAGACGTTAATAGTGTAGCATGTACAGGCCAACTAAATAACTTTCATTTTTAAGTTATACATTTCTGTCTTTATGGTATGATACGTGAATGCAATAACTCATATTCAATACCATCAACCAATCATATTTGGCTGCCTGTCACAACCATCTATCTTTACTTATCTTCCTGAGGGTCGCAGGGTGCAAGCTGGAGCCAATCCCAGCTCACATTGGGTACACTATGGCCACGTCACCTGTGTAGCACGGCCAACATAACCTACCATTCAATTTAGTGTCTCCGATTGACTTTACCCAGGAGGAAGCCAGAGTACCTAGAGAAAACTCAGGGAAAACATGCCAGTTCCACACAGAAAGATCTTAGCTGAAACAGAATTCGAACCAGGAACCCTCTTGATGTTAGGTGCATCCCCATTCCATCATATAGAGGCAAATGGAACAGTAAGAAAATCAGTGGAGCAGAGGCTGAGATGATGAAATGTGATAGTGATGCAGTCTGGTTGGCACCCACAACCTTCACACTATGCTCCAGATTCATAATGCAGGCTCTGCTTTTTCTGCAGTTTTCAAGTCAAGGCCAAGTTCAGCACTGATCACTTTCACCATTTTTGACCTTAAGACTGAACTTATTTCTGTGTGTTGTAAATCACCAGTGACCCCAACAGGAGTTCAGCTGGTTTAATATTTTGTTTGATTTGAGCTTCAAGTTTCAAAACCTCATAACTGACATCGTGTACGGCGCAGAAAAAACACTTATTAATGAATAATGGACATGATCCCGGCATTACTGACACACCAGCGCTATGTACTGCCAGAAATAGAGAGAGTCAGAAAGACAGAGAGAAAGGGGGAAGACAGAGAGAGAGAGCAAGATGATGAAACTCAAGTGTAAGACCCATTTTTAAAACATACTAAGGCCTGCAATTTATAAGAAATGCTGTTTCTTCACGTTAAACATGTTAACTTATCTTGTTGGCAAAATGTCAGCTTTGTAGGATTACATCGTGAGTGCATTGTGTTTCTTTGATCCCAAAATACTCACAAAACCCAATAGCTGAATAAGCCAAAACAAGCAAACAGTACATTCAATTAATATTGAAAGTTTGTGGCCAGGAGAGAGTCCCTTGTGCTGATTTATACCAAAATTGTGGCCTGAAATCCTAATTCACGTCAGTCTTAGTTCACCAATACACATCAACAATGTCTGCATCCAATAATGAAGGGCAATTAAAGTGAATTGTCTTTGTGCATCCACAAAAAGCAACACACAACACGGGTGTGTACAAAGTATATAATCAAGTGTATTTTCATCTCCACGTTCTGTACACATATTAAGATCAATTTCACATGAACACTATACAATAGCAATGAGTGAGGAATGGTATATTTTCTGAGCGCTGAGCAGCTCACGCTGAATGGCACTTTCATAAAAAAAAAAAGAAGAACAGGAAATCACAGCATGAATAAGTAAATGTAGACATAACTCAACAGAGAAAATGGCTTTATATTATCAGATCCATTGAGTAACAGATTCAGCACATATAAAATGCACAATGCAACGAAATCAAACAATTTGTTCCGTCCTTGTGTTGTCTCTGCATAATCCAAACTGTAAATAATGCAAACACAAAGATATATTTGCAGCTATCAGAGTTAAGTGTGCTTCTTCTCTGGATTGAAGTAAAAGGCAATCTAAAATGTAACATTTTTAAGAAGAGTGGTAACAAGATACATCGAAATATCAGAGAAATATCAATACAATTCACAAACCTTCAATTAGTCATCTCATAGAATAGTCTTTTAGTAACTGATAGAATAAAAAAAACAATACAGTTTTGGCTGCTTTACAAGGAATATCTATGTCTCAGAGATATGTTTACATTTCATGTGTGCTTTTTGAATTTTCCCATGACAGTTTCGAGGAAAGGAGAAGATCAAGAGTGAGCCAGACTGTTGTGGAGGGTTGGTTCTTCCTTTCCAGGAAGCGATGAGAAAATCTTCCTCAAAACGTGATTCTGTGTTCCCAGAAACTCCTGTGAAGTTTTTTTTTTTTTTTTTTTGGGCTGCAGCGGTTTTAGATGTTGCTGTGAAAGTTGTTGAAGGGGGGTGGTCGAGGATATCAAGTCGTTTTTCCTATCCATACCTACTCCCCCTGCGTACACAATCCTTTTTCAATCCGCCAGCCTCTATATGTACATACAAACAATGTTTACAGAGAAATACCTTCACTGGTGTAGTCTGACTTGTTCACAATAATCCCTACTTGGAATGACATGGCTCAATGACTGTGATGTCTCACATAAAAAAAATCGGATCCATTATGATATATGCTTCACTGACAGGAATGTGTTGAGTGATTTAATAATTCATTTAAATTTGCGGTAATTTTTTTACTAGAGCGCTTGACATCATGCTTCATTTATGATACTGCACTGGCAACATAATACCATCTCGGAGGCAGGGCGACTGGGGAGTTTTAAAAGACACATAACATAAGATGGAGGCTGCAGAGATGATGTCTTATCCAAATAAAGGTTTTCTTTTGTACTGTAGTCAGAAATCCTGGGGTTCTCTCTGCTCATCTACCATAAAAACTCAATAATTGGCCTGTTTTGCCTCATATATCATAATGGGGACATTGAGACTTGTTGAGATAGAGCATTACAAAGAACAAAGAAAACACTGAGGCAAACCTGTCTTGTTCTCAGCACTTTCTCCACTGAACCATATCCATGCTATATACAAAGCCAAAGTGGATATGCTTCTTCCAGCTTGTTAAAAACATAAAAAAAATGATACACTAACAAAGAATCTGTGAATGCAGACTGGAGCACACCTTGTGACACAGAGGATGAGTCAGATCTCATATTGTGGACAAAGATTTCATCGCTAATAGGCTGCAGCTGTTTTTTTGTGGCCCGTGAAATTTCACTGATGGTCGACCTGACAAAATCGGGGAGCGAAACAAAAGCACTCTCTCTCATCCTCTTGTCTCAGTCCAAACTACTCCCCCTCCTCTGCACTCTCAGACGTAGTATTCTTTGTCTTTGTTCTTTTTGCCCTTTGTGATTGCCTTGGCCACAGAGGCCGTTGCTGTGCTTTTGTCTTTGACCACTGCTCCATTGCCCTCCACAGTGGAATTGTTGGCAAAATTGTGGCTCTGGTCCGTCTGGTAGGAGCCCTCATCCCGGTTGCGGTACTTGTACATGGCATAGAGGAGGATAAGAATGCAGAGAGCAGCAGCAGCCACGATACCCACCACCATCCCCGTGGTGCTACTGGACTCCCTGATCACCTCCACGGCACCGGGTTGGCTCTTTTCATCAGAGACTGTGGGGTTGGCTGTGGGCACATGGGGAAAATTGGGGGGGTAAGTTAGTCCTGGTGTGTTTCGGGAGGATGGAGGAGCAGGGGGCAGAAGCACCTGGTCACGGGTGTTCATTTTGCCTGCGGGGATGTGGAGCTGGTCAGGGTTGGTGGTAGGAACATAAGGAGGTAGGGGGCGGGGTTTCTGGACTCCACCCTCACCGGCGGCGGGAGGTGGAGGAAGGACTGTCCTGTCAGTGACCATGGGGGAGTTATTATTGTAAAAGTCCTCGTCATCAGATTCCGTCATCTCCCCAGAGCCGAAGGCCGAGACCTCCACAGGGTCACCACAGTCCTCCTGGTCCGGGGGGCAGGAGGGATGAGGAGGGAGTATCAGGGACTCTTTGGTGGTTTCAAGTGGGGAGAGGAGGGTAGGGGGAGGAGGGATGACAGGGTAACGGGTGGCGATGGATGGGGGCTCAAGGGAATCCACTGTTATAATAGGCAACACTAATTCACCTCCTAGAAAGGAAACAGAAAAGGTAGGGGATCCTAAATTAGAACAGCATAAAAACTAAAATCCTGGCTGAACAAGCTGTGCTCATCAAAGTGGAGCCACAATCTGCTCATTATGTAGAAATATTAGCTGGCTTATCACTGGTATTATTTATTATGATTGCAAATAATACGCAGATTCCTTTAATACAAAGTTATTTACATAAGCATTTGGCAAACGCAGGGGAAAAAATTTAAACCACCATGTTTTTGAATGTTATATTCGGTTCTTGATTCTTCAATACAGATTTTAAACCTTGATTTAATGATAATATCATATGATAAAGCGAAAACATAGAAGAGCTCACATGTAGAAACAAACACACAAGATGACCCATGAAAGGCGGCAGCTGAATGAAGAGCATATAACAGACAGAGCACATAACAAACACAAGAGCAGTACATTAAATTGCCATGGTACTGAATGCACATCTGTAGGCAGGGGTTCAAGGGTTGACAAGAGAAATCACAAGAGAGGTTATTTAATTTAGGAGTCACACGTGTAATATTGTGGCTTATTGAAAGCAATTAGCATGCCCTGTCTTTAATCACCACATGAATGAGTCCTCACTCAATCCACCTTACTGTATATGTGTTCTAATACCATGCATTGGCAATTGACTTTGATAGAGTGTCATCTGGTCCTCCAGTCTGCAGTTTGGCTATTTACGGCCGTGAAGTTCGCTTTCATCATTATTTGATGCACACTTCTTAGGGCCGGTCAACAACATAAGGTCTGATAAGGTCATATTAATAATTGAGGCACCCGCGATAAGGGCAGAGTCCTCCTTAAGTTCCACAGCTGGTTTCTGTCACAGGCCTGATGTGCCGTATACTGTCTTCCTCTCTTAATGACTGTGGTGCACTTCATTAAGATTTCCTCATATTCAATTTAATGAGTTCCAGACATGACTCAGAAGCTAAAACACAGGTTTAAATTATGCTTCTTGAATCTGTAACGACAATTCAAATACAACAATTCAGCTGTTTTGACAGTGCCCCTGAACAGATGAGTGTAAAGTTGATGTAGAAACATGATGCTGGGAAGCACCTAACAATTTTGAAACAACGATGGCTGCCTGATGTTGATGCCTTTATCTACAATCTTGGGTGAAAGTATAAAGCTGCTTTTAATCATGCACTGAACTCTTGATAATTTCCTGACGTTATCCGGAGGGGCTGCATGAGAGAACGCAAATGTCCAAGTGAGAGGATCTGGACTTTCTCTGGAGGTTCTCCAGGCAGCCCCCTGGTAAAAACTCAGGATAATGTCCAAATGTGCTCCATGAGATTCTCTGCAGGATTCAACATGAGCAAGTGCGTAAGTTGATGATGTGTCTAACACGCGACAGATGCTAAAATGAAAAAAACAAAAAGGAGACAAATATCTCAGGATGATAAAGCTGTGCCCTACATGTAGAAGACACTAACAAAGATGCTAAGAGAGCTTTTGGAGATTGGGTCGGCGCTGGTGTTGATGTGCTCTACACAAAAGCATGTCTTCCCTTTGAACCTTTGAAACCTTTGAAACCTTCTCTGCAGCTGAATTAACATGTTATGTCTTGGCTCTGCTTGCAGTGCCAGAGAGTTCTGTGTTGTTGTGAACATGTCTGAGCAAAGAATCTCCTGCTGGGTGTAAAAGGCAAACTCCGGAGAAAGTCCAGACCCACTTGTGCGGACATTCTCCAGAGTTAATGTCTGAAAACACCTTTAATGGGATAAATATAGCTGTATATTCCCATCTTTTTTGTCACGGCTGACTCACCTGTTCCTGGTTCACACTCCTCCAGGTCCTCATCGTCACTAGGACACTCTGCTGAAGCCACCAAAATATCATCAGAGTTCTGCGGCTGAAAGAAAAACAGAGAAAATGTCTTGTTTTTGTTTTTTTGGACAAATCTAGGTTTGTTCTCACTCTTTTATGAGCATGTTTGCCAGCGGACTTTCTGCATCCCATCTGAGGAAAAGCTGCCGCACTGTTTCACTTTAGTGCTTTGGCTCAGAGCAACAGTAGTGAGACTACACATCTGAAATGTGCCTATATGCAGTTATTCTTTACCCCTGTGGCCGACTTCATGTGTTGACAAAAAGAAAAGCAAGAGCACTACAGATGGAGGGGAACGTCTCAGTGGGCTAAATGTTGTACATGTTTTTATCTATTTCCATGTCAATTTGCAAAGACAAATTCTCACACGCAGCATCAGGACTTCAATATGTTTAAATTGGATTTTAGGGCACACAGTGATGCAGAATACCGGAGCAGAGCAGGGAATCGACGGTCCACTAATGGATTACTTGGTTAAATTGAAAATACAGAGACGGCAATTTCAAGGAAACTGGACAAGAGAAATGTAATGAAAATGCACTATGTATTTTTATTAGGGGAGGTAGGGGTTTTGTCTAAAACCACAGGACTCCAAGTGCAGCTGAAATCCTTCCAATTTGGCAGGTCTGCTGCATTTGGATTAAAATCATCTCATTTGAAATGGTGGTCAGTAACACTCACCAGTCTGGATGCAGGATTGTGAATGTGTAGAAATCTGTTCTTCAACAAAAAGCTTGGAGGTATGCACTCTAACAAGGGACATTTGATTTG